GCTGAGGAGGTCGCACGGGAAGCAGGACCCAGCACTGCTGGCCCTCTGCCACGGCACCAGCCCAGCCAGCACCCCCAATCTGCTCCTCCCTTTGGGAGCGGGGTGGCCCCAGGCTGCTGGAAAGGGGATGCAGACATTTAAACGGGGTGGTTTTACATTGGAAATGAAGCAAGTGCCTCTGCCGAGTCCTGGTTGTTGTCCCAAAATACAGCTAGCAACAACTGCAATAACTGGAGGGGAAACCAGGGGAAAACAAGCAGCCAGGCTGGATTTCTGCACAACCCAACCTCCCTCCCTTCCTGGAGGAGGTCGCTGTGGCCCAGGAGATGGGAGAGGAGATGGGTAACAATAGCACAGAGCTGTTCTCTTACACCTCCATGAGGGCAGACGGGCCATGAAGGCAGACACAACCTCATGCTGTCCTGTACCAACAGCCACAGCTACCACGGTTCTTTGGGAGGGTCCCCACGGCCACCCGGCAGGGCCCTACCCCACACCCACACCTTCTCTGCCACTTTCCATCCTCACCATCAAGCAGGACAGGCATCCGTCAACCCTGCTCCCCGTCAGCAGGCTGCCTGCACAGACCTGCCGAGAAGGAAACCCACCTCTATCTCCTCTGCCCTCTCGCACCATCCCGGCCCGCTTCTGCTCCGCATCGAACTGCTGCTGTATGAGGAGGGGGCTGCGCACATCCACGTAGCTGCCCGGGGGCTCGCTGTCCTCGGAGCCGGGCACAGCCTGTTTTTTCGGTGGCGAGTCGGGGGGCTGCGTCCCCCCACTGCGAGCGGTTTCCTCCAGCCTCGTGGGCAACTCAGTGGAGACATAGAAATCCTCTTCGGGCTCTCTCCTAGGCTGCTCGGGGCTGCGAGCACTGCCCGCATCCCTCGGCGGAAGAGACCTGCCCAGACCGAAGCCCGGTGCGCCACGGTGCAGGTGATTGGCGTTGCCAAAACACCCGTTGTCCACACACACCGGGTGCTGCCGGTGGCTCAGCCCGTCCCCGCCCCGC